GCCCTCAGTCTCTTCCTGAAATGCCTCCCCGGCAGAAGGGTGGAGTGCAGGAGGCCGGAGGGCCCGGCGGTCAGTGTGGCCTGCTCCTGGCCTCCCGAGGGCCCTCTGCTGCCGCCCGTCAGGGTGGCCAGCCCCGCCCTGCCCGGGCCGCACCCCAGAAGCTGCGCCCTCGCTGGGGCGTTGGCCGGGGGGCTGGAGCCAGGAGGCTGTGGCCCGGCCGCACCTGAGGGCCAGCATGTCCAGGGGCGTGTCCAGGAAGCCGTCGTTCCCACAGGTGTTCTGGCCTGGCAGCCTGCGCTCTTTCACCCGCCCAGATGAGGGAGATGCTCCTGGAAACCCGATCCTCCGGCACACCTGCGGCACGGGAGGGGCGCCCAGGTGGCCGCGGCTCCACCCCCGCTCTGAGGAGGCCGAAGTCCAGGCCTCCCGAGGAGCCGCGAGCTTGTGCCCCCAGGAGCGGTGACCGTGACGTCACGGCCCGGGGTGGGGGGCCTGGACACAGCGCGAGTCCCCGCCACCCCGCTGGCACAGAAGCCGGTGGGGGCCGGGGGTGTCCCCGAGTGTGGGGGCCCGGCTGACTTCGGGCGTGGGGAGAGGCTGACGTCCTCTGCAGCGCCCCCCACTTACAGACGGGGAGCCCCTGGAAGGCCATCTGGCTGCTGGCATGAGGCCTGGGGTTGCTTTCCCGCGGCGCCCGCGTGCCCTCAGCTCCCGTCCCGGTGAGGGGTGACCAGCATCCTCGCTGCGTCCCCGGAGACGGCACAGCGCTGATGGGAGGGGTACGCGGCTCCGGCCCACCCCGCTCACCCCCAAGGGCGGTGACACAGACATCTCCAGGCGCGTCCTGGGTCCTCGGGGAGAGCAGTCGGGGGACGTGCACAGGGCCGGCGGAGCCTCCACCTGCCATGAGCCGCTCGGCTCCAGTGAGGGCGCCCAGGAGGGACCCCGCTCGGCTCCAGTGAGGGCGCCCAGGAGGGACCCCGCCCGCCCAGGGTGCCGGGGTCACGCTTTAGGCTTTGGGGAGGTTCCGCAGTCTGAACTCTTGCCCTAGGCTCTGCCTTGTTCCTCTTCCTGCCCGGCCAAAGGAGACGCAGCTCCAGGCGCGGCCCCTTCCGGAACCTGCCCCCCGGCCTCCTTCACCTGCATCACACCTGTCACGTGACGTGGGCTCCCAAGCCGGTGGGAGAGACTTGGCGCTTTCCAAAGACCGAGCTCCCAGAGGGCGTCCTGGGCCTCAGGCCCCCCCAGCGCTGGCCCA